ACAACTTACACAACAATCCTTAAGATGGCAATTTTGAAAACAAAAGATCAATCAATTTTGTACTTATATGTACTGTACTGTTCTCCAGCAGTTTAAGGAGTTAATCCAGCTGGCACATAAATTCACAAGTACACAACATACATTATTATTTTAAACTCTTATAATATTCCTGCAACTACAAGAATGAACATAGTCTAACCTGCTGAACTTATCTGAGAATTACAAGAATATCAATTTCTGTTAATTTTGAAAACCAGAGAGCAATAAAAGCTAAATACAACAATTTGTTTGGAGACCAGGCCCATGTACTCCAAAACTAGCACGAAATTTATGAAGAATGAAAATTAAAATTGAAGTTGATCTAGATTAAACAAAATATATCAGCTGTTTAAAGGTTACTGGCAATGTGTTGAGCTTGCTTAAAAGTTGATATGTCAGGACTGTGGATGTGTTGTGTAGGATTGACAGGTGTAGAAAATTTGCATAAAACTGTTTATTAATTGTGATTGTAAATTTAGCAACGAGTACAAGGTATTCCGCTATGAAGCTCATCCATTTCCATGACTATTTGAGCTTGTAAGTCTAGTCTAGCATGGTAATTGTTCTAAAAGGTCAATGCCTAAGATAACAGGATGATGAAGAAGTTCAAACACATGAAAGATATGAGATGTCTAATGACCACTAATATTCAAAGTTAGCTCTGTAGTTCCTAACATACCGGTATTGTGAATTTCTCCACAAATACCTATTCCGTGCATATTACTTGACTACTTGATAAGGAAATTTTAATGAATATTCTTTCAAGAAGACTCGTAGACACACAACTAAAACTAGCACCAGTATCAACTAGAGCAAAAAGGTCATGTCGCCTTATTTGAACCGGGAGGAGATTTTTCTCCAAATCGACCGAGAATGATAAAGTGGGATTCTCTGGTGAAAGACTACCAATAAACGTCCCTGTACAGATCTTTCTTGAACACTCACTATAACAATCCATTATAAACCTTCATGTTTACTAATATATCCTCGGCGGGGCATTCATGTCCTTTGGACGTATTTTTATTTTTTTTTTTTGGGGGGGGGGGTTTAACTGTCTCTCATATTTAAATTATAATTTAGTTCAAATTCTCTAATTCTTGTTAATATGTGAAACTAGACAGCAATTTCTAGTGTGGATTCAAGGAATTTGGACTAACGTAGTTAATAGTGCTCGAGAAAGCTAGCAATATGTAAGTTTACAACAAATTTCGCTTCAAGTTGTACCCCATTTTGAGAACAGCTGAAATTATGACATCACTGATTAAATCGTCAGTTACTTAATGGCATGTTATAATTTTCCTGATAGTTTGCAATACCATAATTTTAAATCAATATGCTTATACGTATAGTGTTTTGGTATAATGATTGATATTCAGATTATGCCCATTTAGATGGGTGACATATATTGTGAAACACCCTTTTTCAGAATTTAGCGCAATCACTGAGTATTGAGTAGTTGGCGTATTCATGAATTTGTGCTATACTTCCGCGCTATATATTGTATTAATATATATGTATTTATGAATTATGATATACTGAAAGGAAAAAGAAACGCAGGGTAGCATAATTTTCGATAAAAGTATGACCACATGACCGAAAATTACGAAAATTGGTAAGAAGGGAAATTTAGTTACTGTGCATCAAAATCTGTATTCAGAATTACTCAACCGTAAAATTTATGACGTCACGTAGGGAAAACGCTAAAAAACCCAAAACACGTACAATTTGATAACGACAAGTTTGTCAACAAATCTTGTTGCATTATTTGATGCATATGAGGTATGCACATCGTTTTTCAATGTTAAGAGACATTATGAATTTATTGCAATCTTGGCACAGTTTACGAATTCAAAGTTCAGTGGGGTCTTGTTTCCAAATTGCCTAATTAATGAAAAAGGCAAGAACGGTTTACTGAGCAGTCTCTTGTAAATTTTCCGACATAAAACGTTTTAGTCGTTGTTAGAGAGGGTTTGGAGTGGTTTTCGATCAACCGTGACGATGACGGTAACGCGAAACAGAGTCATGTTACGAGCGGGTTATTCCTCCTGCCATCTCTTAAATCGCGGCCTTACTACCACAAAACAGCCATTATTAGAGTAGATGAAAATAATCATCACATTCATACGAAGTTTGAAAGAAAACAACTCTGGTTTTTTGCGCCAGTCAACTTACGGTTGTTTTCCTCTCACTGGCGCATGCGCGCAACGTTTTACTTATTTTTTGAGTGTTTACTAATGCTAAATATAGCAAGGATTTGAAAGATAAACCCTCTGATCAAATTCCATGCAAAAGAGAAATATGACTCTGACAAATGCACGAGATAGACATTGAAGATAATGAGAGATTTCGATTTTCACTTTTGGGGGGTATCGTCATATGACCTTCAATAACTTATGAATACTTAGACAAAATCATACGAGAATTCGGTTATATCTTTTTGAAAGATGATTTTAAAAGGTAGATAGGAAAACTAAAAAGTATTTTCAGAAAAACAAATTTAATTCACCTCAAAAGTTTACCCTGCGTTTCTTTTTCCTTCAGTATATATAAATTTCCTAGTGGTATTCATGAATTAGTACAACAATATCCACGCTAAAAACGATAAAATATAAAGCCCGCTTTTATGAGTGCACACAGTAAGTTACCATGACCTTATTTGAAATTTTAGGGTTTGAATTAGTAATTGTTTATGGATAATCAAACCTTGTTAGTTCATGTATTTTGAATCCTCAGAATATGTAGACTAGAAAGTAGGTCACAGTGAACTACTTTTGGAATTTTAAAGCAACATCTAAATATTTCAAGTCATCAAAAACTGAAAATCACCAAATTTGAATAATCAAACTTTGTTCGTTAATGTATTTTGAATCCTCAGAATATGTTAACTAGAAAGTAGGTCACAGTGAACTACTTTTGGAATTTCAAGGCAACATCTTAATATTTCAAGTATTCAGAAAGTGAAAATCACCAAATTTTGTTAAGTTATGCATATAAGGGTCTTGGTGTGTCTTGTCTAAAAAGTAGGTCACTGTGACCTACTTTTTAAAATTTTATGGATATAGCTAGTAGGGGGCTTAGAATCATTAAACTTTCTCAGTTGATGTATTTTTTAATTTTAAAGTGTTATCGTAATTAATACAGCAGTCTTAGAGACATTAAATTGAAGTGATATGTTGTACAATTTATCAGAAGAGTGATTCAACGTTCTTGATCCTCCTGTATTTTATTTTTCATAACAACAGTCAAGGAGAGTTATAAATCTTGAATACAGTAGTTTTCACTTTATTTTGATTCATTATTCCAGGTATAGTGAAAACACTCTTCTTGTTTTGGTCAACGCTTTTTGTATACATAACGATACCAAATGAACACTAAACATATCTGCAATTTTTTGATTGTTTTTCACACTGTGTCACAGGCCTTTGAATCGCTTAAAACAATTTTGTGTGTAAAAAAAATAAAGGTATGGAACTCTTAAACTGGGTACCCAATTTCGCTAATTAAATTTTTTTTTATTCTAATGCTCTAAAATTCTACTTTCTATTGAAATCTGTTCATACATAAACGTTCTTCAATTCTACCAAAGCTCATTCCGAACTTCCATATATTTTTTGATATATTCTGAATTCAATTTCAAAAATGACCTACTTTCTTTTACTCGACATTAGCTTGGGGCCCTGATCATTCACATGTAAACAGACGGTGTTTGAAGTGCAGCGAAGAGATGCATATATAGTATTTCCAAAATCTTTCAACAACTTAAAGTTGATTTCTTACTCCAGATTGTAAGGTTTAGTCCGTAATAATTCCTTTCGCGAAAAATTAATTTGAAAACGTCCACATCAACAACTACACTGCCATGTTGATTATGAATGTAAAAGAAGCTGTGGTAGAACAAATTTTTCCCGGAATACATTATATATCTTTCGATTTTCAAAACAATTAGACCGCTAAAATGTTATTTGTGACATAGTAAGATCATATAATCAAATTAAAGAAAAACCTTGTAAAGCTCGAATGCAAGTGAGCAAATATTCATTTAGTTTATAATAAATTCCGGGGAAAATTTGTCCCGTCATTCCCGCTTTACAATTATTGAAGGCCCAAGCTGATGTCAAGTTAAAAAAATTAAGGTCAATTTGGGGATTGATTTCAGAATATCTCCAGAAGTATAAGGAATTACGGAATGAACTTTGGTAGTAATGAAGATTATTTAAATTTGAATAGATATAGATGGAAAGTAAAATTGTGAAGCATTTCATTTGAAAGAATTTATTTGGCGAAAGTACGTGCCCTATGAAAAGAGTTCCATACCTTTATTTTTTTTCAAACCTCACTTTTTTTCTAACCGATCTGAAGGTCTGTGCACTGTGTTATCAAAACAATGAATGATATTAATTCTTTTAATGAGTTATCTAAATGAATGAAATTATTATAATGATTATGACTACATATTTTGAGAAACTCACATACTTACAAACCTATATCAAGTGATTTTTATCATTTGAGCAAGTTGAAAAATTAATTGAAAGGCCAGTACGTGCTGGACTTGTACTTCACCCCTGAAGCATTATAGGGCCTGGTCACAATAAGGTATTGAATTTATACAAAGCAAGGCCATAATTTGAAATTTTGATAACGAAGCATCTTTGAGTAATATAGATTCAAATTTGTTCAAATCCAACTGCCCCCTGGGGGTAGGGCAGGGCAACTGTAAAAATTATAAAAAGATCGTAAAAATATAAAAGTCTACTAAAACCCAGATTAGTCAAAGAAATATGGAAACATTCTAAGTTAGTATAGAGGCAACATATCCCCTTTCCCTTGGAGAGATAGGTTTGGACCATGTGTATATTTAAACTTTTCAGTTTTTGACTAATTTCTTCTGTTTTTTCTCTAATCCAAAATAAATACTACGGTGAGTGCTGTGATACATGGACCTTTTGTTTATTTGTAGATGGAGATGCAGTTTTGATGTGCCTTCTGCTCTGCCCTTCATACAAAATAAATCTGAAATCTGACGACTGGATACAGAAATATAATGCTGTTGCCAAAGTTTTCAAATTTAAGAAGATTAAGAAGCCATCCAATCTCAGCAACATAAAGAAGTACAAACCAATACTCAAACAGGATACTGTGGAAGTTGAATTTTCCTGTGAATTCTTCAGAGACACCAGCTTTCTTAGATTTGCAAGGGATCAGAAATTCGTGAATATGTTTCTGGATTGGGCAGAAAAAGAAAACATTGCAAAGTACTGCAGATCATCAAATTATCTGAGAAAAGAGATTGAGGAAGAAGTTTGCTGTTGGTTATTGCCAAATCAAACAGAACAACTGATAGAAAAACTTGGAGAAGACATGTTCACACATGCAACGATGATGGACCAATCAATACATGAATTAGTGTATACCAAGCGTATGTTTCTTTTTAGTTGTTTTACATAACATTTAAGGTCTTTTCACCATATTTGTGTAAATGATTTTGAGTTCAGCTTAGCTGAAAGCTTGTTGACTTCTACTTTCACAATATAAAGTTCAGTGTCAGAGCTACAGTCTTGTAAGAAATGTTTTCTTTATTATAGTTGGCATACCAGTACAGGTTATAATGAGAGGTGATGAGTCTGTGAGGAATTTCTTGGACAATCTGAAGAAAGGGGAGACGACCATGTATCATGCCTCTGGGATGATCATTGGGTGTGCAGGTAGTGGGAAGTCAACCTTACTAGAAAGACTGAAAGGCACCGACCTGAAAGAAATTCTGAAGAATTCAACATCGACCAGGGGCATTGACGTACAGTCTGACATTTTTGATGTGACAGACACCACAGTCCGAGGTATGGCGTGTTAATGATTTCCAGGCATTTGATTTTAATTATGACCGAATTAGTAGAGTTAATAAGGTTTGTTTAAATAGGTATCAAATAAGATTCTTGTCAACAACAGAATTGTAATAATTAGTCGTATTAATTTGAAAGCATCCTAATATTTATAAATCAATCCATGATCGGTCAAATAACTGCTCAAGGTAGTGTAGATTCAAGGTTGTTCAAAACATACCCCTGCCTTTGCCTCTCCTGAGACTATATATTTTAACCTTTCACACTGAACAGATTTCTGCTTTTCTTCAACCAAAGTACTAACATAGTGATGCAGCTCATGTGCCTCTGGTATTTGTTGCTGTATTAAATTTAAGTTTATGTAACTCAACAATCCCAGGGTGTGGTGTCCACTGCCCCTTAAGCTTTTTAGCATTTCAATGGTACACGATTATACAATATCTAGTAAATGAAAAATACAAGATATCCCGTTTCCATATAATATAAGCTACTCTGTACCCTGGCTTAAGCGAAAAAAATAACGAAATATGCATTTTTTTATCAAAGAGTTAAAAAGAAAAGAAATTCTTAATTTTACTTGAATAAATTGAAAAATTTCTAATGATGCTTTTTTTCTTTTGTAGTAAACACGTCAAACGAAAAACAACGCTTTAAAGTTAAAATTGATGAATCAAGCGAACAAAAGACTATTTCAAATCAGCCTGCAAAATTATCAGGTGACATGAAAAGATTAGACATCAAAGAGTCAGGGGATCAGATGGATGCAGCCAGTATAGCAAACGAACAAGAATCGGTCAGTGATGAAGAAATTACACATGAGAGCTTGGATTTAGATTCTGAATCACTCAAAGGAAATGAAGCCGCTGCTTTCGTGGATGAAAGAGAAAAGTTTGAAGACAAAAAAATGGTTTCTGAAAATTCAGAAATATCAGGAATTTTAAAAGTTTCCAAAGATGTTTTGGGCGAGCCAGAGAAAAAAATTACCATGGTTGACTTTGCGGGACAGTGTTCATATTATGCCTCACACCAGATTTTTCTGAGTCCACGGGCATTCTTCATTCTTGTGCTTAATATGGAAAAAAAGTTTGATGAAAAGGTTGGAAAAGAGGTCTGTAGCCAAGAAGGTTCCATTTACGAAGGGTGGACACACAAAGGTTTGTTTTAGTTACATTATTTGTTGTCTAGAATTTATTAAGGTAGGACACAATAGATAGGCCAAATATTTCCTCAAATTCAATTTTTCTGAAACTTTGATATTTTGTTTTTAGATACAAAATCTCTTTTTATATATGATATAAAAGAAATTCAACCACACATTTTTTTCCACATAGTCTGAAATATGGCCTATCAGACCCCTGTAAGAAGATTGTGAAATCAGACATTCGACTTGAGAATTAGCCTTATTTTACAATCATCATTTGATCTATTGCAAATTTGTGTAATACTTTAAACAAAAATATACTTTTTGCTACTTTAAATCAGTAAGTCATATTGATACAGGGAAATTTGAGTAAAAATATTAAGTAAAAATGGAACAAACAAAGCGTCGGAATTGAAAATTCATATGTAAATATCCAACAGTTTAAGTTTTCTTAAGAGAAAATGTAAAATTCAATTTTTTACAAAAAAATCAGCAGAATGATTCAAATGGATCTTGGAATATATGTTAGATATTTGGACTTACGCCCGCGGAATCTCTAATCAGCCACTCTTAACTCACGTCTGGATATTAGGTGCCAACTTCGGCCGATTATACCTAGACCACACAGCCGTTCGCTTCAGTTCAGTCATTTGGTTGTTTATTTGACTCTCTGTCATTATTATTTCTACATTGCTTACCGTTTAGGCAGGTAAATCCCAGCATAAAAATATTCACTGAAATCTCCGTTCAAAGTATGGCTCCAATGACGAAATTGTTTACCTCATCGCATAAAAGAGTTCATAGTCTGTTTTCTTTCATGTGATGTTCAATAGCCATAGAAGACATTAGTTCAGAATAAAATAGGGTACAAACAAACTATAGGAACTCTCTTTCGGAACATTTCGGTTGCAATTTTTCAATCGAGTGGTTAGGGCTTACGCTGCTTATAGTATATATATTTAAGATTGTCACTTTTTTATAGAAAATCCTTTTTATATCACCTGAGCCTAAAGCTCAAGTTTTTGTTCTGATCACATTTTGTCCGGTGTTCGTCTGTCTGTCTGTAAACCTTTCACAATTTCGACTTTTTCTCAAGAACCACTGCGCCAATTTCAACAAAACTTGCCACATGATACCTTTGGACTTCGAAGATTTAAGTTAGATCATAAAAAGAGCCACACCATCTTTCAAGGGGAGATAATCAGTAATTATTGAAAATACATTATGGCATCTTTTGAAAATATGCTCAAGAACCACAGGGCCCAGAAAGATGAAACTTATATGGTATCATCCCCAAGTAGGATAGATTTGCGTTTGTTCAAATCATGACCCCCGAAAAAGGGTGGGATGTACATTCAAATTTGTTAAAATCATGACTCTTGGAGTAGGTAGGGGCAACATTGGAACTATCAAAGTTTTACAAGAAAATATAGGATAAGTCTTTCATCATCCTCTCAAGAAAAAGGTACGCTATGGTTGATCACATTTATATGGAAGCTTCCGTAAATTCAAGTGTGACCCCCAAGAGTAGGGTAGGGCTACAGTGAAAATCCAAACATGTAAAAAATAAAATGTCAGAGTTTTTCAAAAAAAATTAAGTAAACATCCTTAGTAAGTGTAGATTCAATTTTGTTTAAATCATAATTCCATTTCCCTTGATGGGATAGGTTTTTACCATATATGCATTTAAGCTTTTCATTGCTACACTGATTTTTCCTTTTTTTTTCTTAAGCCATTGCTCAGGGGAGCGATGTGGCTCCGGGGCCATTGCTAAGTTGGGCGATGTCTGTCTGTAAGATTGATGGGATTATTGTGGTCTAAGAATCTGGTATAGTCTGTGAAAGGACACATATTTATACTTAAATGAATTGTTGCTCCATACCGGAGGATTCAGTAACTTTGAATAATTTCATCTAACAAGATTTTTTAGTAACATTGAATAATTTTATCTAACAAGATTAAGCCCCCAGAAAAATGCAGTTTTACTGATTGCATTATGACTGAATTCACATCAAAACTAAATTGATGTACATTTTCTTTCCTCTGGAGGTGGTTACACTCATGAACATAGTAAAGGCTACCGGTGGTTTAATGTGAGCTTTAGCATCTATGGTCTTGTATTTATTGATAAAGTCATTGAGTAATTGTTGATTTTTATTTAATTTAGAAAACCTAACATTCTGGGCCAAGTTGGAGTTGATTTATACTCATCAACATGATATAGACTATTGTATACTGAGTTAATGTTTATTTTTTTATTTAATTCAGACTATCTAACATTCTGGACCAAGTCCATTCATCAATACAGCAGTGAAAAGGCTCCTGTTTTACTGGTGGGCACTCATGCTGAAAGGAAGACAAAAGAGGTATTTGATATAAATATCTTTTACCTCACCTTGGCCGAAGGCTCAACTGAGCTTTTCGGATCAAAATATGTTTGTTGTTTGTCGTTGTTGTTGTTGTTGCTGTCGTTGTAAACTTTTCACATTTTCATTTTCTTCTCAAGAGGTTAATTTCAACCAAATTTGCCACAAAGTATCCATGGGTAAAGGGAATTCAAATTCAAATAAATGGCCTTCTCCAGCAAAATTGAAACTGATGTAAAAGCATCATCTGTATTTGAAATTTTTTTTTTTTTCAAATCATAACTCCTGGGGGTAGGATGGGGCCACAATGGGGCGTCAAACTTTAACATTTGAATACAAAGGAAAATAATAAATATCCTTTACTCAAGAATGGCAAAACCATGATTGTTCATTGTTACTTATATGGAAACATCCTCTGGTTCAAATCATGACCCCAGGGGTAGGTTGGGGCCACAATGGGTAATCAAAGTGTAACATAGGAATACATAAGAAAAATCTTAAAAATCTTATAGAACAGCAAAGCCATGATTAGAAAAAAAAGCCATGATTGGTCATACTTATATCGAAACATCACTTAATGTAGTGTAAATTCAAGTTTGTTCAAATCAAGACCCCCGAGGGAAGATTAAGGCCAAAATGGATGAGCAATGTTTTAAGTAGGAATGCACTGAAACGTTAAATCTCACAAGAACAGAGTAATAATTGGTCATCAATTTAAAAGCATCGTTACCTCTTTCATTCCCAGTCATGAAAAATGTCAGAATGTATTATAATTTAAGCACATCTGAACAAAGGTTTAAGACAACTGATATTTTCTGTTCACTTTTTGTCCATATGTTTATCGGTATGTCTGTCTGTTAATTTTCCTTTTTAGCTCTACTGGTCAGAGACCAGAAGAGCTTATGCGATAGTAATGCGTCCGTCGTCCGTCCGTCTGTCTGTCTGTAAACAATTTTTCAAAATGCTACTCTTCCTCTTCTACAGTTTTGGTCTGATTTCAATATAATTTGGCACACAAGTAGACTACACTAAGATACATAATTCTGTATATCAGTTTTTGATTTTGATGAACAGTGTTGCCGTGGTTACTAAAAATAGAAATTTCTGTGAAATTCTTTCAAAATGCTTCTCCTTCTACAGTTTTAGTCTGATTTCAATATAACTTGGCAAACAAGTAGACTACAATAAGATACATAATTCTGTGTATCGGTTTTTGATTTCGATGAAGGGTGTTGCCGTATTTACTAAAAATAGAAATTTCTGTGAAATTCTTTCAAAATGCTACTCCTTCTACAGTTTTGGTCTGATTTCAATATAACTTGGCACACAAGTAGACTTCAATAAGATACATAATTCTGTTTATCGATTTCTGATTTCGATGAACGGTGTTGCCGTGGTTACTAAAAATAGACAGTTTTGCGAAATTCTTTCAAAATGTTTCTCCAAATTCAATTTTAGTCTGATTATAACATAAGTGTGGCATGCAAGTAGACTGCACTAAGAACAAAAAGAGACTTAATCAGGGATCATTATTCTATTTATTGCTGTTGAAAAGTTTAAATTTCCAACTGCTTAAGTACTTTTCTCTTCCTTTGCTATAAGTACAAACCAGTAGAGCTTCAGTCTCGACAGAGACTTCTGGTTTTCATCAAATTTGCAAGAACCACTTTTAAACAAACCTGCTACGAAGCATCAGTAGATGAATGGGATTCAACGGCGAGGTTTCTACAAGGCTGTTTTTTGGCCCATGTTTTTTGCGAAAAATGAAATTAGATTGCCAACAATTTTAAACTTACTTTCATTATATTCAACATGTCTAATTTTGTGCTGAATATTTATTTTGCGAGAAAAAAGTTCGGATACTATTGGAATAAACGATCAAAGTATGGTACCCTCAACTGCTTTAACATTGACTATATGGGAAAATGTTGGAGGGTTATGATGTTTAACCTTCTAGTCATAACGTGTTACATTCTGAACCAAAACCATAATTTGATAATTAATTACTTATATGTACAGAAACATTACACTGAAATATGGTTGCGGTTTGCAATGCAACACACACTTAAAAACTAATGACTTTGCAAATTTTGCAATCTGTTGAGTTGTGGTTAATTTTTTTCAAACACTTAAAGTGAATCATACACATTTATAACAAATTAAATGTCCAGTCAATCAAACAGATTACTAGTAATTCCAACCTAGCTTTGAAAGAAAGGGGTATACTTTTTTACCCTTGCGTGTCCGTTTAGCTGTCTGTGTGTCTGTCTGTAACAAATGTTCTTCGCATATTTTCGGCAACTACTCAAAGTAGATGATTGGGGCTTTTAACACACGTTTTGCATGTCAAAAGGTGACATTTATTTTTGTATGAATACAATGTCAGCTGTTTGTGTTTGTATGTACCAAATTTCCATCACGGTTTTCTCAGCAAATACTCATTGCAGATTCTTGAAATTTTGGTACACTCTTTGCTTAGGCATGCCATGTTATTGTTAGATTGATTCATGAGAGTCTATCAGAGTGGAGGTTTTACTATTTAGTACTGGCTTTTCCTTTTATACCAGTATTAAAATCATACGAAAGAAAAATAATTGATTATATTATAACATGCCTGTGTGTTTGTTTGTTAGGAAACACTTTGACAATAGAGACGGTAGTTTCAATATATAAAGACCAAGGTCAGACTTATTGTTTCACAGTAAACAATATTAATTATTTAATGTAAATCAAGGTTAAAAATTTCTTGATTTGGGTATGTTGCCGTTTCAAAGATTTAACGTACGTTTATTTTCTGTTCAAAAAAACCCAATGCCTTTAGTAACCAGCTCCTTTCAACTTTATGTGAATTTGAGTTTTACAAGATGTTGATGATGCAGTTTGTGCCTTGATCTGTTCTAAATCTGTTGCCCAAATAATAAGTGGTCTTTTCATTATACCCCCCACAAACAAGGTTTTGGGGTATGTATAGGAATCGCCTCGTCCATCTATCTGTGCAAACATGTCCTGTCCATATCTTTTTTTTACGGAGGAACATAAGAATTAATACCTAACACCTTAATCCAAGGTCATTTGTGCAAGTTCAAAGGGGCACATGTACATGCGATTACAAAAACATTTTGAAAAAAATTTAACATGAAAATGGGTACGGTCATGGAATCAAAAGATAAGAGATTTTTACACTTCCTATGTTTCAATCTAAATGAAATACTATTAAATCGATGTACTTACTTATAATGTGTAGAGGTCTTTTTTTCTACTTTATACCTGTAAGAATATGTATGGGTCGCAAGCACAGTTATATTTTAAATGATTTGTCTCAATATATGATATATCTTAATATTGAAAGCATTTGTTTTTTATAACTGATTGTTTTTCATACTTTTTATGTTATTATAGGTAGCAAAGATGTCTAATAAGAAAGCGTACACAATTTCCATTAAATTTTTATGGCTACAATTTCAGAAGTTCTGTTTCCAAAATATATTAAATTAGTTAATTTTTTGTGTTACCTCAGCCCTATTCCATGTTCCCTGATGATATATAGTTAATCTTTCTAGGGTTTTTCACATTGAATAGCCTTCTACAAGTAATAAATCTTCATAACCCTCTTAGATGCTTTTAGAGGGACCCTTTAGATACCCCTTGGTCACGTGACTAGTATATGTTGGTTTTGCAAATAAATTGTAAAATATGACAGAGGAAACATTACTGGACATAACTGAAGGAATTAATTTGAAATTCATCATGGGCCAAAAAATAGCCTTATGGAAACCCCACCTTTGTTACAATGAAGGCTACACTGTCCTCTAATGGGACATAAATACTTAAGGAATAACTGTCTTATTTTTCGAATTCATGAAGTGATCAATGGATTGGCTTGTGTGATAATTTGCATAAACGCCGAAGGCGTTTATGCATAAAATTATCACACAAGCTAATCCATTGATCATCTTCATGAATTCGAAAAATAAGACAGTTATTCCTTATATTTACATGCTTTGATACCGCCAATCCACGTGCTCCAAGCCTGCTTCTCTCTAGCTGTTGTCCCGCCCTGCACGTGTATTTTTTTTGGAACTGTGCCAAAACATTCATGAGGAAATCAATTACATTTACAATTGGTAATTTTATCTCGGACAAGGGATTGGAAATGTAAATATAAATTAATCAAGTAACATTTAAATGCATTTTATAATGTCAAGCAAACTTAAGAGTAATTAGCAAACCCTTCTAGTTGATGCAATCAAAGTCAGTGAATACATCCGCAAAAGAACGTAGCAATATATCGATTTTTGAATATAGATGTCAAAATGTTTTTTTACCATTTCCTTTTATGTTAATTACCCATCAGTACTGAATAAATATGGATGGCACCTTTTTTGATTTTTTAGCTCACCTCGACGAAGTCGAGATGAGCTCATACTATACCCCCGGCGTCGGCGTTAGCGTCGGCGTGTCAGGTTAAAGTTTTAGGAGCAAGTCCATTCCCAAGTAACTATAAGTCCTACCTGAACCAAACTTGCATGGATGATGAATCTCAGGATGGACACTATCAGACTTGCTTCGGATGCTGGATCTGATCTATTTTTTCATTCCCAAGTAACTATAAGCCCTACCTGAACCAAACTTGCATTGATGATGTTTCTAGGGATGGACACTACCAGACTAGCTTCAGATGCTGGATCTGACATACATTTTCATTCCCAAATAACTATAAGTCCTACCTGAACCAAACTTGCATGGATGATGCATCTAAGGATTGACACTATCAGACTTGCTTTGGATGCTGGATCTGACCTATATTTTCCAAACAAGAGACCAGGTTAAGTTTTGCGAACAGATCAATCCAAATGAACTTGAAGTCCTTGATATCTGCAGTATTAACAAAGTCATGAATATTTGTTAACACTATACATGTTTTTCACTATACACGCGTAGAAATGTGTATATGCCATGTAAGGGGTTAAACACAACTTGCAAGAATATTGTTGTTGGGATGATACTAAATATTAAGAAAATTTGATGTGAGATTCCCATTACTTAAACTGATAACAATCGTCGAGGTGAGCTTCGTAATCTTTGATTACTTATGTTTTAAAATTGAAATACCGACATTAATAGATTAATAGAAAAAAATAATGTAATACTAGAAAACAGTAAATCTATTTTGTGTTTTCAATTTACAACGTAAAAACGTGTCATTTTATAAAACTGTCACTGTATTAACGAGATCCTACTGTATTATTTATTTCTTTGTTTCATTTCATACTACACCGATTTTTTTCAACTTAATGCTTAACGCCATATGTTTATGTCACCATGTAGTTACGGAAGCGACACATTACTTTTTTTTAGCTCACCTCACCTTTGTCCGCTGTCTGTCGTCGTTGTCGTCGTCGTTGCTGTCCTTATCGTAAACTTTTCACATTTTCCTCTTCTTCTCAAGAACCAATGGGCAAATTTCAACCAAACTTGCTACAAACTATCAATATCCTTTGGTAACAGTGATTCAAGTTTGTTCAAATGAAGGGCCACACCCTCTTCCAAGGGGAGATAATTATGGATTAGTAAAACATTTATGGCCAAAAGCTTATTGTCAAGAACCACTGGGCCAGGAAATATGAAACTTATGTGGAATCATCCTCAGGTATTGTAAATTCAAGTTTGTTCAAGTTTGTTCAAATCATGACCCCGGGGGTAAGGGTGGGGCTGCATTGGAATATTAACGTTTTCTATAGGAATATATAGGGAAAATCTTTAAAATTCTTCTCAAGAACAGCAAAGTCATGATTGGTCATATTTTTATGGAAGCATCCTTAGGTGGTGTAAATTCAAGTTTATTCAAATTATGACCCCCAGGTGTAGGGTTGGTCCACTTCTCAAGAATAGGAAAACCATGTTTGGTCATATCCTTATATAGGAAAGATTCAAGTTTGTTCAAATCATAACCCCTCTCCCTTACCCATTCTGCCTTTAAAGGGTAGGTTGGGACCACTTACGCATTGAAGCTTTTGAATACTAAACTGGTTTTTAGTTCACCTGAGCCAAAGGCTGAAGTGAGCGTTTCTGAATCAAAATTTGTCCGTTGTCTGTCGTCATTGTAAACTTTTAACATTTTCATCTTCATCTCAAGAACTACTTGGCCAATTTCAACCAAACTTGGCACCTTGAGTATCCTTGAGTGAAAGGAATTCAAATCTATTCAAATGAAGGGACAAGCCCTCTTCCAAGGGGAGATAATGATGAATTAATGAAAAATTAATGGCATCTTTTAAAAATCTTCTTCTCCAGAACCGCTGGGCCAGGAAAGATAAACTCATGTGGAAGCATCCTCAGGTAGTGTAGATTCAAGTTTCTTCAAATCATGACCCCTGGGGTAGGGCGGGACCACAATGACGGATCGTTTTACGTAAGAATTATATAGGAAAAAACTTTGAAATTCTTGTTTCCAGAACCACTGGGTCAGGAAAGATGAAACTCATGTGGAAGCATCCTCTGGTAGTGTAGATTCAAGTCTGTTCAAATCATGATCCATGGGGGTAGGGCGGGGCCACTATGGCCGATTAAAGTTTCACACAGGAATATAAAGGAAAAATCTTTTAAATTCTTGTTCTTCAGAACCATTGGGCCAGGAAAGATAAGCATCCTCAGGTAGTATAGATTTAAGTTTGTTCCAATTATGACCCATGGGGGTAGGGCGGGGGCACAATGGCTAATCAAAGTTTTACATAGGAATAGATAGGAAAAATCTTTAAAAGTCTTCTTCTCTAGATCCACTGGGCCAGGAAAAATGAAACTCATGTGGAATCATCCTCACGTAGTGAAGATACAAGTTTGTTCAAATCATGACCCCAGGGGTAGGGCGGAACCACAGGGCTGATCAAAATTTAACATAGGAATATAAAGGAAAATCTACTCCAGAACCACTGGGCCAGGAAAGATGAAACTCATCTGGAATCTTCCTCAGGTAGTGTAGATTTTAGTTTGTTCAAATGGTAACCCCCAGGGATTGGATGGGGCCCCAAAGGTTGATCAAAGTTTTACATAGAAAAATAAAGGAAAAATCGCAAGAACAGAAAAGCTATGTTTAGTCATAATGACATCTACGCATCCTAAGCTCATGTATAGAAGATTTAAATTTGTTCAAATCATGGCCCTTTGGAGTAGGGAGGGTACCCCCCCCCGTAAACTTTTCAGTTCTGATCTGACCTGTGCTTTTTCTTAACCGATGTGCTCAGCTCAGGGATGTGGCCCCAGGGCCTCTTGTTTTTTTTTCTTCCTAGCAACAATACTCAGATGAACGATGTGGCCCCTGGGCCTCTTCTTATTGCTTGCTCGTTTTTTTCTTTATATTTGTTTCTGATTGATTGATTGTATATTGTTTAACGTCCCTCTCAAGAATTTTCCACTCATATGGAGACGTCACCGTATGCAGGTGAAGGGCTTCAAATTTAGACTTATACTCAGAACTAAGGCCCACTGCGCAGTGAGAGTTCTTTAGGAAACGGGACCTAAGGTCATATCCGTAAGACCCATAACTTTCACTTCTGATGCCGAGCACTTGGTGAAGGAACAGTCGCTACCTATTTTTAAGTCTTGGGTTTGACGCGTCGCCGGTAATGAGAATTGAACCCGGGCCTCTCGATCACGAAGCGAGTGCTCTACTTTTAGGTTACCGTGAACAGTATACTTGTTCTTGAATATTAAAATTCCTTTTTGTTTACGAAGTTTTCCTTACTCTAAAAGTCCATGGTATAATTTTTATATTGAATTATGCGTGGTCAGTGGATTATTTTTACCCTCCCTAATATTGTTCTTAAAATTTGCTTCTGTGTTGAATTATGCTTCCGTTCCTTTAGGTTGCAAAAGTTCTGGCAATTGTGTTTGAATTCTACACAGTTACTAAAACTGTAAAAGCATTGATATTGTTGATAGCAATAATAAATATTCGATATTAAATCATTTTTTACCAGGAGAAAGAAAAGTTTTTTCGTGAGATATGGACGAGCTTGGAAACAAAGGATGCGTCTCTGCAAAGGCATTTTGACAGGAAAAGAATGTTTGCTGTTGGATTCCACGAGAATGAATGCATTGCAAAAATCAAGCTGTCAGTTGTTGATGTTGTCAAAAACCTTGATCACTGGGGTGAGAAACTCCCATACTCCTGGGCAATGTTTGAAAACTTCTTCCAGGAAAAGAAAAACCTTAAAATAATCAACAAAGAGACACTTTTGGCTTTCAATGAAGCATTGCCACAGGAAATGAAGTTGGAAACAGTCGAAGATATTCACACCATGCTGCAGTTTTTCCATGACATCAGAGAAATTTTACACTTTAACCAAGAATCTCTCAGAGGAATAATAATTCTTGATGTTCAGTGGTTTGCAGATGCGTTCAAAAATGTAATCACAGATAAAAACCACGCAGCAGAAGATTTATTTAAGCTTGCCTCACAATGGAACAAATTTAATGAAACCGGAGTACTGAGTGACACACTGCTGTCTGCGATATGGGAAATGAATAGCAATGGGTACCTTGAGCACAAAGATGATATCATGCAATACATGGAGAAGCTTGGTCTCTTGGCTAAAATGGAAGACAACAATTGGTATGTTCCCTGTATGAACAAAAGATCGTTTCCTGTGCGTAGTTTTTCATCCTACCCTGCCTCTTCCATCCTCTGCTACACGTTTGATGTTCTTCCTGCTGGTATTTTTCATCGCCTTGTAGCGAGTTGCGTGCAATTTCCATGGAAAATTGTCAAAGTAAATGAAGACGGAAAAGAACAACCTTGCATTTACCAGACAGCAGCCGTGTTTTTGTTCGAGAAACACTGTGTTCTGCTTGGAATGACCCAATCAGAAATTCAGTTGCAGGTGTACGTAATTGAGGGAGAAGTTGAAATACCCACATGTATCAAGATAAGACAGAAAATTGAAGATGAATTGCACACTCTGTCCTCTACATTTCAAAGAAACTTGAAATTCCAAATTGGCTTTAAATGCAAACCTATTGGCTTTTGTGATATTAAAAAAAGTCACGTGATCACGGAATCTGAGCTTACAGAACCGACTCTTCTGTGCCCTTCCTGTCCTATGGATAAAAAGCACAATATTGACACGACAGAAATCCTCAAATACTGGAAACAGGTAGTGTGAATTGTGGTCTTTAGATACTGAAATGAAACAAATATGACCTACGAGATAGAATAAATTCAAAGTTTGAAATAATAGGTTTGAAATGTGAATATATCATGTTTGATTTTGATATAAATACTTTGATACCTTCTTTTATTTGATTAATATTTTTTTATCTTAAACACATGAAACTTAAGAAGTTATTAGACTAATTGAAAATATAAAACTTTATTGAGTTTACAAGGTAAAGAATATATATAATTAATATCATAAATTTAAAATTCCACAATACATTCAACTGTATTATAGAGGAGAAAACACAAAATCTCAACTGTATTTAAAACTGCATTAATAAAAACTTTATTAGTTGACAACCAACATAATAACATGTCAACTTGTCCATGGCCATTATCATATACATTTTCCTGGTCAATACTTTTTGTACATTTTGACTGACTTCTTCCTTTTAAGTTTCTTCTTCCAATTTTTTTAATGCTAATGAATTAAAATGAAAAGACTTTTTTCAGATGAAGACAAGCGCTTCCACAACTCCAATCGCCTCAGGACAAGACCTGGGGGACCAATCTAGATATGCAAAACTCGGAATGGCAACAAACGATGTATTAAATCAGGCATACAGAGATATACTGGAGATGGAGGTGCCACCTTCCAACATTGAAAACACAGTCAAAGCGTCACCAGTTTATAAAAAATTGCGTCCAGAACAAGAGCATACCTTGCAGGATGCTAAAAATTCGGGATATAAGAATTTCGATATCTCGTTAACATACACAATGATCAGAAACATTTGTAAAAAAGTTCCTAAACCAACGAAACGAAAATGGGGCGACGAGCCTGCAGCAAGAGAAGTGACCGTGGGTGATGATATCGAGAGAATTAGGTCAATCCGGAACGGTTTGACTGCACACGTGAGCTCAGCCTCCACATCAAAGTCAGAATTCCAGAAAACCTGGTCCATTATCTCAGATATCTGTCAAAGACTGGAAACTTATACGGGAAAGAAGTATTTGGATGACCTCAAAAGAATCCAAAAAATGACCTTGAGAATGGAAGATGAAAATGCCATTATAGAAAAGATCAAAATGGAAAGTCAGCATAAAATGGTGAAAAAATTGTGTTCAGATATGGAAGATGTGAAAGCAGCAGTAGAGAGGCTTGAAATGAAGCATGCGTCAAATTAAGAGAGGAGTGTAAATCTGAACTTTTTCTTTGATACTAGAAAGTAAAATGTGTATTACTTTAAATAGACTAAGATGTGAAATTCCTGTTCAAAACAAAAATAATGGTTTATTATTTTTTCAATTAATTAGATACTGGAAAATAGATCTGATTTTTTTATAAACTTGGTTTCAAATTAAAAAAACACTGATAATGAATTTGAAAATATTTTTTTCTGTGAATTTAGAAAGACAACTACATTTGTAACATTGCGTGATCATCTACATATATGTCAAAGAAAATGTTTGGAAAGTCAATTGTTTAAAGACACAGTGCATATGTTGAAACTGTATTATATGTATGAAAGAAAGTTTAGCTGTGTATCAGATGATGAATGAATAGTAGATGTTATGAATCTGGTACTTTCCTATATATGAATATCAGAAGGACCTTTTTAGGTCACTTAGTCTCAGGTGACCTATTGCTATCTTTTTTGTCTGTCGTTTGTTAACCTTTGAACATTTTCAGCTTCTTCTCTGCACCTGCACAACCAATTTAAACCAAATTTGGCACAACATATCTATAGGTACAGGGAAACAATCATTATGAATTTCATTGGACCTGCTCCCCTGTGTCCCAAGGGTTTGGGCCAAAACCACCAAAATTAATGCAATCCTTAAAAATCTCTTTACTTCTGAACATCAAGCAGTAAAACTGTTGGCATGATTGCAATCAGCATTGAGTCCTCTACCAACATTTTGGAAATCATGGCCTCAGGATCAGGGATGCCAGTGCGGGGCTAAATAGATACATGTAGTGTACTGAATATGCGTTACTGTATACAGGGAAATTATAGCCCCCGTTTTATTTTCGTCCCTTTCGCCCTCTTTTTGATTGGACGAATTTAAAACGGGGCGAATTCAAATTATACCTCATAATTTTTTAAACAGAAATATGATTGGGCGAATTTAAATGGGGCAAAATTATTCACAAGTTCAAAAGGGCGAAAATAACACGGGGCGAAAATAATCCTGTATACAGTATTTTTTAGTTATGACATTTCATAGTTATGTTGAGCGAGAATGCCTCTTCCAAAATTCTGAATTTTATGTCCACAGGGTCAGGAGGTTCTGGTGTTAGGGCGGGCGCTATTGATAATGTAGTTAATTTGCATATATTCTTTGAAAATCTTCTCTACTTCTGGGCATTAAATAAACTAACCAGTTACGATGAGTAAAAATATTTCTTTAAAAAAATTGAATTTTCTGACCCCTGGGTCAGGGGTTCTGGTGATTATTTTGTTGTTAATTGGTATAAATTCTTTGAAAATATTCTCTTTTTTTGCTCCTAGGTATTTAATAAACTAAACAAGTACATTTTGTACTTTGTTATGATGAACAAGAATGTTTTTCTTTTACAATTGTGATTTTTATGGTCCCAGGATCAGGGGTTCGGTTGTTATGGTGGGGCTCTATTGATTATATATATTGAAAGTACATTAACTCTTTAAAACTCTTCTTCTCTTCTCCTGGGCATTTAATCAATGAGCTACAATGTATGTACATATATAGCTATGAGGAGGAAGGGTGGTTCTCACCAATTTGTGAATTACAGGGCCCCTGGGTCAAGGGTTCTGGCGTTTAGTCGGGGCTTTAATGACTATATAGTGAAGATACATGAATTATTTGAAAATATTTTCCTTACCTCCTGGTAAATATGACAATTGTTCAATTACATATTTATGACGACAGAAGGTCTCTCTTTCATAACGGTTAAATTCAGGTCCCCGGAACAGGTACCGGGAGTTAAGATCCTTTGTCTGATAATGAATTAATGCCTTGAAATCTGCTTTTTAGCTCACCTGAGCCGAAGGCTCAAGTGAGCTTTTCTGATCAAAATTTGTCCGTCGTCTGTCGTTGTCGCGTTGTCGTCGTTGTCGTCGTTGTCGTAAACTTTTCACATTTTCATCTTCTTCTCAAGAACCACTGGGCCGATTTCAACCAAACTTGACACAAAGTATCCTTGGGTGAAGGGGATTCAAGTTTGTTCAAATGAAGGGCCACGCCCTTTTCCAAGGGGAGATAATCATAAATTTGTTAAAAATTAATGGCATTTTTAAAAAATCTTCTTCTCCAGAACCGATGGGCCAGGAAAGATGAAACTCATGTGGAAGCATCCTCAGGTAGTGTAGATTTAAGTTTGTTCAAATCATGACCCCCGGGGCAAGGGTGGGGCCAAAATGGCCACCCAAGTTTTACATAGGAATATATAGGAAAAAATCTTTAAAAATCTTCTTCTCCAGAACCACTGGGCCAGGAAAGATGAAACTCATGTGGAATCATCCTCAGGTAGTGTAGATTCAAGTTTGTTCAAATCATGACCCCCGGGGCAAGGGTGGGGCCAAAATGGCCGACCCAAGTTTTACATAGGAATATATAGGAAATATCTTTAAAAATCCTTCTGAAGATCCACTGGGCCAGGAAAGATGAACCTCATGTGGAATCATCCTCAGGTAGTGTAGATTCAAGTTTGTTCAAATCATGACCCCCGTGGCTAGGGTGGGGCCAAAATGGCTGACCCAAGTTTTACATAGGGATATATAGGGAAACCTTTTAAAATCTTCTTTTCAAGTACTTCAAAGCTATGATTAGTGATATTTATATGGAATCATCCTCAGGTAGTGTAGATTCTAGTTTGTTCAAATGATGAACGCCTGGAGGGGGAGAGTAAATTCAAGCCCGATGTGCTCAGGTGAGCGCTGTGGCCTCTGGGCCTCTTGTTGGTATTAGTTAACCATTTATGATGAAATAAATAAAAAATAAACGCTTACGCGTCGCCGATAAAACTCAGTTTGCAACCGTTAATCAGCATAAACGGTCGCAAATACCAAATTAGAAGATAGTTATTCCCTAATTTATTTTGCATTGATCATCATACAAGATGTAATATTTTTACAGATTTGTTTTTTTTTTATAGGGAAGAGAGGAGAGCGAGCGAGGGTGAGAGAGAGAGAGAGTTGACACATTCAATCCTTTACATAAATAAAACTGCTTCATTTTATAGCATTTTATAGAAAACTATTGATTGCACTGATTCCAGTTTGTGTCAAAAAACTCCCTGTCACCATTTCTAAATGCTAAATATCTTTGTGTTTCATGAAGAAGTAATATTTGAAATCCCAAGTCTGACATCTATTTTTCTTTTCTATACATCTCATTGTATAAATATTCTTTATCCATAAGACCAATAAGTTATGAAATGTTTAGCTCATCTGAGCTGAAAGCTCAAGTGAGCTTTTCTGATCACATTTTGTCCAGCGTCCATCTGTCTGTCTAGCTGTCCGTCTGTCTCTCTGTAAACTTTTCACATTTTCGACTTCTTCTCAAAAACGACTTGACCAATTTCAACCAAACTTGCCACAAAGTATCCTTGGGTGAAGGGGATTCAAGTTTGTTCAAATGAAGGGCCACGCCCTTATTCATTTGGAAACAATTCAAAAATAGTAAAAATTTGATTCTATGTTTTAAAAATCTTCTGCTCAGGAACCAATGTGCCAGGAAAGATTAATCTTATAGGGAAGCATCCTCAGGTAGTGTAGATTCAAGTTTGTTCAAATCATAACCCCCAGGGGTAGGGCGGGGCCACACTGGCCGATCAAAGTTTTACATTTTTAAATATATCGGAAAATTCTTTAAAAATCTTCTTCTCAAGAACCACCGTGCCAGGAAAGATAAAACTTGTAGGGAAGCTCCTCTGGTAGTATAGATTCAAGTTTGTTCCAATCATGATCCCGGGGGTAGGGCCGGGCCACATTGGTCGATCAAATTTTTACATAGAAATATATAGGAAAATTCTTTAAAAATCTTCTTCTCATGAATAACAAAGCCTTCATTGGTTAGAATTTTATAGAATCTTCCAAGGGTAGAGTAGATTCAAGTTTGTTAAAATCATGAAAAAATAGATGAAAAATCTCCTTCTCAAAAATGACAAAGCCATAATTGGTCAAATTTATATAGAAGCATTCCCAGGTAGTGTACATCTAAGTTTGTTCAAATCATGACCCTCAGGGGTAGGGCGGGGCCACGATGGCCGATCAAAGTTTTAAATAGAAATATGTAGAAAAAGTCTTTGAAAATCTTCTCAAGAATTGCTTAGGCATTTTTGATTATATTTATATCAAAACATCCTCAAACAGTGTGGATTTAAATTTGTTTAAATCATGACCCCCGGGGCCACAACGGCCGATCAAACTTCTACATAGAAATATGTAGAAAAATTGAAAAAATCTTCTTCTCAAGAATAGTAAAGGCACGAATATTCTTATTCATATGGAAGCATCCTCATGTAGTTTTACAAAGAAATACGAGGGTTGTCCCAGAAAAACGCGAACATTTTTTATATCTTTTGTTTTGCTAGGCCTATAAAGTTAAAAATTGGCATACATCATGATCAACATTTTTTGAATAATGCATAAAAATTTCAAAGAAACATCTCTATAAATAAAATTTTCCTCTTATGTAAAGGAACCTATCAAATTAGCTGTTGGTGCATTACTGACGACGTCAAAACGTATCTCGTAATGTTTAGGAATTTTTTAAGGAAAATTGAGCCTCTATTTATATTTATTATTAGCACACATACGGCAATGAGTTTTTTTTAGTTACCAAGTTATGCATCTCAAATACTAGTACTACTAAAAGATTTGGGGGTGGGGTGTGTGTTAATTCTTTCAATAGACAATTTTACAATCCCGATTATAAAGCTACCTTATCGAATTATTAAAGGCCATTATTTAACAGCGGTCTTCACGTAGGCCTTTGACGCCCCACTCTTGTCTTTTCAGTTAGTCTTTTATTATGTGTACATGTCTTCTATCAGAAAATTAGTCAAGTCAACCTAGAACCTCTTCTACTTGATATAAACCTGTTCCCCATATTATGTTTGTGTTCTTTCATCGTTAATTCTATATTCAGGAGTCATATCCCGCTCAACATAGTGTTGCTTGATAATTTGGTGCGCCGCATCACTGCTTAACGTCACCATTTTTGACAAAGTTTAATTCAGAGCGCTTTACTTTATATCGTCATATATTTGTCATTATTGATTTAAAAAAAAAAATGAAATTTAAACACAAGTTCACCAAATCATAGAGTATTTATGATAATAAAATTTTTGATATTATATTGCCATATAGCCTGATAACAACGAAAACTTCAATAACAATGCTATTTGTAAAATTCAAACAATTGTCGTGCGCCGACCACCGATATTTAACATCATTTAAATGCTGTTGTTATGTGCATATGACACCACATGCCTATAATATTTTGTCAGAATATCTTAAAGATGATTTCCCAACACCATACCAAATTTTATTGATTTTGGTTGAATAGTATTTAAAATATTAAAAAAGTTCGCGTTTTTTTGGGACAACCCTCGTATATAGGAAAATTCTTGAAAATTTTCTTCTTAAGAATAGCAAAGCCATGATTGGTCATATTTATATGAAAACATCCTCAGGTATTGTAGATTCAAGTTTGTGCAAATCATGACCCCTTGGGGTAGGGCGGGGCCAAAATGGCTGACAAAAATTTTTACATAGATATATATAGAAAATTCTTTAAAGATCATCTTCTGAAGAATAGCAAATCCTAAACTTTTCAATAATAAAAGATTTTCTACTTTCTCCTAGCCACAGTGCTTAGGTGAACCTTTTGTTTAGCATCTCCTTTTCTGTTAATAACCCATCAGAACTGAATAAATATGGATGGCACCTTTTGGGATTTTTTTTTTAAATGAAATACCGACATTCATAGATTAATAAAAAAAATGTAATACTAGAAAACAGTGTAAGAAATCTGTTTTGTGTTTTCAATTAACAACGTAAAAATGTGTCATCTTATAAAACTGTCACCGTATTAACGAAATCCTACTGTATTATTTTTAGAAGGCTTTTGACATTGAAACTCAAACATCCAACCTATTTGACAAATCCTATTAAGTACTCTTTTCTTCATTTCTATCATTTCATAATACACCGATTTTTTTTTCAAATTAATGCTTAACGCCATATGTTTAAGTCACCATGTAGTTACGGAAGCGACACATAACTTTTTTAGCTCACCTTACCTTTGTCCGTTGTCTGTCGCCGTTGTCGTCTTCCTTGTTGGCGTTATCGTAAACTTTTCACATGTTCACCTTCTTCTCAAGAACCAATGGGCAAATTTCAACCAAACTTGCCACAAACTATCGATATCCTTTGGTAACAGTGATTCAAGTTTATTCAAATGAAGGGCCACACCCTCTTCCAAGGGGAGATAATTATTGATTAGTTATACATTCAAGGCATTTTCAAAAATCTTATTCTCAAGAACTACTGGGCCAGGAAATATGAAACTTATATGGAATCATCCTCAGGTATTGTAAATTCAAGTTTGTTCAAATCATGACCCCGGGAGTAATGGCGGGGCCACATTGGAATATTAAGGTATTAGATGTATAACAATCATTGTTGAAGAAAGAAATTTTACTTTATATTTCCTTATCTTTAGTGTTTTGAGGCTTTGATTCCAAAGTTACATAAAATTTCGTCCAGACATATCTGAAAAAAATAAAATTTTCAAATCATACCCCACTGTCGGAAACAGTGAAGGGAGTGTTATACCAGAAGAGGAATTCTGTGAAATAAACTCATTTTCAGACCGTTATTTTACTTTAGATTAACAAAGATAACACAGATGCTTCATAAAAAAAGACTTTTTTTTTCAAACGATACAATCAATTAATAAAATTTCCTGATTAAAATACGTTACTCAATGCTAAGTGTGTAGTTTTTATAAAAACCATTAATTTTTAATTTTTTTAATTTAAAAAAGAAAAGAGTGGGCTAAAAATTTCTTTGAAAGAAAATGACTCTAATCAATGTTGTACAAAAATAAAATACATAAAATATTTATTTACCAGGATATTTTGGAGTAATTAAGCATTTACTACCCCTACCCCCAATTTTAGTATCCGTTTGCTGACACACAAATATAACTTTTCTTTCTCAACACTATTAGTATGATTATGCCATACTTATTTATTGATAAGTGTTTAAAACAACATGAATTAATAAGCCTTATGACATTTTTAACAATGTTCCTTGACCTTTTAACCTTGAAAAAAAAACACAGTATTTATAAACTTGTATAAGAACAATTCTGTGAGATAAAAAAATGTACATGTAATCTTGTTAGTTTTAAAAGTATGGTATTTTTTTCCTCATATGTACAGAGAACTGCAAAAATCATAAAAATGAAATCAATTTAATATGAATATTTATTATGATAGCCCCCCCCCCCCTAGCCTATCTATTTTTTCTCTATGAAATAAATACCAAGATTAAAAAACCAAAATGTGTTTCTTTCCCTATTTTTGTTTTCTTCTTTTTTTAAATAAAAGTAGAAATTATTTAGTTCTTAAAGTTTTGTTCTTTTTATTTTTTTTTATTTTATTAATTTCCTCTCTGTTACGGGTATTTTATAAACCTTTAATTTAGAAGCAGGAAGATTTTTTTTTTCATTTTGGAAACACAACCTTAGTATACAGTCATGTGGTTACATGTATACAACAACAAACATCTGTCATGTCCAGAATTTTTTTTTTTCATCAGAGAAAACTCAGGGAATTTTTTTTATGCAAATACATGACTCGACCGATCTATAGCTGTAACCGCGGTCTAGATCTAGTTTCATTATAGATGCACACTTCCATGTGTTTCTTTACTATGTTTACAGAAAAACAGCTAGATTGATTGATTGATTGTATATTGTTTAGCGTCCCTCTCAAGAATTTTTCACTCATATGGAGACGTCACCGTATGCCGGTGAAGGGCTTCAAAATTTGACCTTTACTCGGCACTCAGGGCCATTGAGCAGTGAGGGATCTTTATCGTGCCAAAGTACATGTATTTTACTTTAAAAAGATTGTTTATGCAGCAATTTGTCTAACAAAACTATTATATCATGGTTTTCTATCAATCTAACATTTGTTCTTTCCTCTGTTAAGTATATTGCTCTCATCTTAAGGCATGAATAATGCCAGCTTCCATCAAGCCGTGTTGACGAAGAGCCATGCTTGTTTACGACGTTCGATAACGCTTAGTCAGAAACAATGGGCGCACTTGTTTCAGACAGCCGGGCGATGACCCGGTTCACTTTTATCACATGGCATATTGACCCGGTTAGTGTCGCTGAAACGAGTGAAAAATAAGCCGGATTGGCTGGTATTGGTGCTGTTGCTGTTTAAAAAAATTATCAAAATTATCTGAACGCATGAGAACAACGATTTAGTGGATATATTTCGTTTTAATATTTACTTGTTCCATTCTATGTATAATTTGTGAATTTGGAGCATATAGAGGGTCTCGTTAACCACAGAACTGGAAAGCAGCTTAAAATTTAAAAATAAAATGTTTTTGTCGTGCAAATGTAAACAAATATGTTGTAAAAGTATCTTATTAAATCAGTTGTGTTTGTTTATTGACACCGAGACTACGACAAATGATAAAAAAACAATTGTTTCACCATCAAGAACATTTCTACCTCCATTTTCCGCCATATTGCTTTTCATTTGGCCGCTCGAAATTTTTTGGGCGATCCGGGCTACTTTCTGACCGCCCGGCGGCTTAAATATATGTGAAACAAGTGACTTGCCCGGTTCCGGAATATTAACCGGCTTGACCCGGCTTATGAAACAAGTGCGCCTAGTGTTACGACATCGGTAATCATCGGCAAACGCCGTCATATTTACCGGAAGTGCCCTGTTATACTTCTCAATTTAGACTGGTACCCTGACATTGGTTCACGGGCGCAAGCGCTCTGAAAAACCAACGACAGGTAACCACTGCCATTTTATCGCGTCACAGGAAACAGCACTGATGAAGAAAATATATATTTAGACTAGCGTAAATCCAGAAGTGCTGAAGTAAATAAACCCCTCTCTCTGCACTCTACACATGCTACACGGCTGTTAACAAAGAAAGTAGACGGATTTTAAGCATCTATAAAACCATGAAATAGTCATGCCTCAAAAACCATTAAATGTAAAGCGATATCACATGTCCCATATGCATATCCTACCCAAATAATTCAAATCAAGATCTTTTGCATTATTAATTTTCCTACATATTTGCCACTGATATGATAATTAAATCACCGATTAAGTTATAACACTTGTCTTTAAACACTATTCATGTTCTAAAGTTTACGGGGTATGCTATATAACTCGTCTCTCTAACTCCATAGTGTTAGGAACATTTGAAAGTTTATTGTGACATTATATTGTAAGTTAATGCTATACTCAGCTATGAAAGTCCTTACTATGTTGTTTGAATAATTTCACCGTATTCAATTGCTCTATTCATCAAGAAAGATATCGCATGTGAGTTAAGGCTACATATGGAAATTTCTATACAAAATATCTAGTTAAATTCCATAATTGCTCTACCTACAGCACAGAAAATGCTAAAACTTGTTCTGTAATACATTCGTGGTACCCACGGCATGCGATAGCCAGTACACATTATGACGTCATCGACCTGTTCTACACAAGTTTATAAGAAACATCAACAATATCGCTTCAGCGCAAGGGCATACCTTACTTTGTTTCCCAGAAACAAGGTATCAAAAGACGCAGGATATTCCAAGGATTTGAGATATTGCTGCACAAATGTCGGCACTGCAATTGGTTACTTACTATTTGTGCAGTTTTAAGTTTAAACAGGGTAAAAATTCACTGTCCAGGGTAAGTTTCCTAAAATTTTTATCAATTGAGAAAGTGCATAGGATTTGTGCAGCAATTTTATTAATTTTTAGAATATTCTCCTTAATATTATACATTGTTTATTTCAAATTAGATAGGGTAGGCCCTTGCGCCGACGTGATTTTGTTGATATGAATAAATACCTTGAAACGGAGAGAACAATGACGTCATAATATGACGTCATAATGTGCACATGCATTAATAAACTGTTGGTACTGAGTATGTATCAGAAAATCAATTTGAACCTTCTCTGTACATAAAATATACAAATTATGAATTTTCATTAGCTCATTTGCATAAAAATATCCATATTTAGCCTTAACTCACTTGCGATGCTACGTTTTGTTTTCTTTGTTATTCAAATAATTCCTAGCGGCAGCGACTGGAATCAAGGGCAGAGAACCAGTGCTACATCTTAATTCTTAAAGTTTTCTTTAGGATTGTATAGGAAAAATCTTTAAAATTCTTCTCAAGAACAGCAAAGTCATGATTGGTTATATTTTTATGGAAGCATCCTTAGGTGGTGTAGATTCAAGTTTATTCAAATTATGACCCCAAGGGGTAGTGTGGGGCCACAATGGATGATTTAAGTTTATCATTGGAAAATATAGGTAAAATCTTCTCAAGAACAGGAAAACCATGTTTGGTCATTTTTATATCGAACAATCCTCATATAGGATAGATTCAAGTTCAAATAATAACCCTTCTCCCTTACCCATTCTGCCTTTAAAGGGTAGGTTGGGACCACTTATGCATTGAAGCTTTTGAATACTAAACTGGTTTTTAGCTCACCTGAGCCGAAGGATCAAGTGAGCTTTTCTGATCAAAATTTGTCCGTTGTTTCTCGTCGTCGTCGTTGTAAACTTTTCGCATTTTCATCTTCATCTCAAGAACTACTGGGCCAATTTCAACCGAAATTTGCACAAAGTATCCTTGAGTGAAGGTACAGTACAGGCAACGCGGATCCCGTATCAGACCGCGTCCCCTTGGCGGTGTATTAATCCTTTCTGCGTTACACCGTCGCGGTTTTGATCGCGGTGGTACCTGAGACCGTGTTTACACCGCGGCGGGGCCAGGCGACCGTTTCACTAATAAATCGCAAATCGTAAACGTAAGATAACGTTTACGATTGCTAGAGGTGCACGTAAACAAGCGTTTCACAAAACTTATCGTAAACGTAGCACTTACGACTGGCGAGTTACGACCAACTTATTGGAACTATTCTGACAAAGGAGGTGTATTTGTATTTGTTTGAGAGCGAGAGAAGCGGAGAGAGAAGGAAAGAAAAATCAATATGAAATAAAAATATATTTCATTATTTGTGTTAGTCCTCAAAATAAAGAAAGGAAGAGAAAAAAAGACAATAAGTTAATGGAAAATACATGTAGATCACTAAACAAAATCAATTGCAATTATGCATAAAATTTGCCAGTGACTATTAAGTTCCTTTCTCTTATTATAACTAGGATCAAATTTTACGTACCAAATATCTTTGTTTATTCTTGCATTCTATGTATCTTAGTTATAAAGCACAGTCTACAGTGGTGTAAAATGTTTTATTTTACTTAAATCTTATTTATTACTTCCTTACTAAAAATTATGACGCACCCGCGAAACGAAACATATATAAAGTTTTTTTCCGATTCATGTTTTTTGTAAGAAATTACAATTAATTGATACATACGATATAATTCGGGATGTTTATTTTAAACATTGCCAAAATTCAAATGCATGCATGTTTTTTTTCAAAGGATTTTATATATGAATAAGTAAGCAAAGATCTTAGCAAATATCTTGCTCTAATCTTAAACATAGGGAAACTAATTCAGAAGGAATATTTTATTTTCACAAATTGCAAATTAATCTTATCAATCAGTTATTCAATCCAAATTAAATCAAATTGTCTTTAACAAACACTGATCCAACAACCGACATAGCACTCCTTTTATAGTTTGTATATATTAGAACCATGCCCGCAGTAATGTTTTCATAAAAACAGGGCCCGAGAAGTAAATTGAAATTGTAAAAAATATAATTTTAACTCCCCTTCCCCCAAAAAGGAGGGTGCAACTTCCAAGAGTAATCTGCAAAGCAAAGGAACTTATAAACTGTCCAAATCCTAGAATTTGACGGTGCCCGAACTTTCTTCAACAAAAAGTTGGAAAGGAGAAGGTGGGGGGAGGGGGGGCATGTTAAGAAAGATCTTCTACATGTCCTCTTTGTAGGAAAAATTATGCCCCAAGAGTGTACATATCTTCCGTGTTCTACAGACTTCTGTTTACATTTATATACAAGTTTATTAGTTTTCGTTTTCATAAATTATAAAGGTTTATTTGATTTTATTTTCACTGACCCAGTACCGTCAACTTTACTAAATTTTCATTTTAAAGAAATTTGGTTATTTTCATAAATTCGCATATATAATTATAAATATATATATATATATATATATATATATATATATATATATATATATATATATATATATATATATATATATATATATAAAAATATAAATATATATATATATAAAGAAAGCACAGAGAAATTCACTTTTACAAGGATACTCACTTCCGCCCCAGCCCGGGGTTGAACTCTAGACCTACGGAATCTGTCTCCTAGCAGTGCAGGAACAGCGCGTTAGACCGCTCGGCTATCTAGGCAAGTTAAAAAACTTGCTTTCGATGCCGATGGAATTCTCACAACGCTGTCCTACACTACACGGTCATTGAGAATGAAAGTGAGATACAGTTACAATTTGTGCTTTATAAATAAAATTAAATTCATCACAACATGTATTGGTAACAATCCTCTAAAAACTAATGTCCAAATAACTGTATCTCACTTCCATTCTCAATTTAATTTTTATTCATTAAAGCAAAATAAATGAAAATACTTCTTTTAATAAACATATAGTGTCGTTAGTTTTTTACTATTTTATTATTATTAAAAAAAAAAAAAAAAAAAAAAATGGCGCTCGTCACAACTGGTCACGTCGCATCGCCTAAGAAAGTGTATGTCGAATTGCAGAATCCCAACACCAATACAGACTTTGTAAGTACTCAGTCTGAATGTGTAATCGATTCTGCAAAGCAATACAACGCCAATTGTGACTTTGAATGTGCTTATACTCCTCAAAATACTGATTTGATTAATGCACTAACTGGCGAGGGTATCATGAGCAATATTAACGGTAGCGGAGACCATACAACTACACACACACATGGGTCTCAGACGTTTGACTCTAACTCTGTCTTCAGTTCCGATTTCCGATATCTGGACACAAACCTTCAAAATCTACCGAAAGATCTTTATGTGCAAAAGTTATTAGAATTGACATCTAGTAAAGAACACATTATTATAGACTATAGATCATCTCTGTGTTTAAGAGCAAAAACGATGGGAGGATGTCCAACGGGCAACCTTACGACGAGAAAATCAACCAAACTCAATTCTAGTGTGGCCAAATACGCTAAAGATTGCTTTGCATTGCATATGTTCTGCAGCGGTGATAGTTCTTATCTATCCGATGTATTTGACAAATCAAAACACGGACAGTCCGAATTTCCCAAAACATCATTGATTGAATTACGCTCTCTCGTACAGAGCCTCCTCCAAAGAGTTAACAAGCTCGAAGAGACACACATAGACGACACTAAAGATATCCAAAATCTCAGCAAAACTGTGTCTACCCTAAAAACAAAAAATGCATCTCTTATTTCTGAGCTTGAAAAATTGAAAAACATCTTTGATACACACGCCTTTGGCTGCGAGACATTTAGAAAAACTACCAATTCGCAACTAAAATGCCTCGATGGCTTAGACTTTACAGAATATCAAGTTAAAATTATATGCTGTCAAATAATAGGCTGTCAAAGCTTTGTTCAGGTCTGCAAAAACAGGTGTCTGAAACGAAAATGACCAAAGGAAAGAAGCATACTGTATTAAAAATTTTCATCTGTTGAAGACATCACATTAGATCAGAGAACAATTAATTAATCAGGACAAACCCTCACCCAGTCGGTCACATGGACCGGTGGTACAAGATGTACAGTTTATTTCATCTAAGAAATTTCGATTTTCTATCAGTTTTGCCGGTAAGACAAATGGTTTTTAGAAACACTGTAATGATTACATGCTCCTTTCCATGAACGTAACCATTTTTGCAGCATGTGACACATTTTTTCCCCCAAAGTTTAGCTTGTGTTTTTCTACGACAATTTCAATTGTAAAAAAAAAAAAGCCTAACAAAAATTTTATTTTTTTTATCAATTTCTCAAATTTTAAGTCGGCGATTTTTAAAAACAACTAATCAAAAAAAATGTCCTTATTATATTTGTTTCTAG